GTCTTCAACTCAGGCCTGGGTCCTGTCGTCAGCTTATTCTGTGGATGTATGGCTGTGGTGGTGGTGGTGGTGGTGTGTGTGTGTGTGTGTGTGTGTGTGTGTGTGTGTGTGTTTCCATGCCTACTCCCTAGAAACATTCCAGCTTGAGGTGCCAAAAATCACATGGTCTTGTTTTGGACTGGTAAGTGCACCAGATGCCCATCTGTAAGGCATGAGATCCAGCCGTGTGTGTGAGTGTGCGTGTGTGTGTGTGTGCGTGTGTGTGTGTGTGTGTGTGTGTATAGCATTGCTAACCTGCATGTGTGAATGCTGTGTTTTATATCTCTGTCTGATACAACTTTTCTTGCAGGTCATAAAGAAGGAAACTGGGTTCTGGAGGGACTTCGGATTTGGGATGACTTGTCAGTACCGGTCAGACTTCATCAACATAGGTAAGGCAAAGCTGCGTCTCTGCTGCCACCCAGAGGCCGCTTCAATGCAAGCCTTGCGCAAATGATGTGGGTTTCTAAGGGGTTGATGGAAAGGCTGCCGCTGTCATTTCCCAAAATGCCCCTACTCATGTCATTAGGGTACGAGGGGACTGGGAGTGGGCAGCACCTCAGCCCTGTAATCTCCACCAGGACCCCTTGGGCCCAGAGACAATGCTGTGAGGCGCAAAGGTGGCTTTGAGGCAGATTCTGCAGGGCCTCCTCTGCCTCCCAGGTAGATTCCATTCTCTCAGGAGCACACAGAGCCTCCAGTCAGGGCGTGAGTGGGGATATGAGAAAACAGAGATCAGGTTCCTCCTTGCCGAACCCTTGAAAGTCCCAATCACTTCTTGAAGTGTCCTAATAATATGCTTGCACACATGTAACAGAGACACCCATGTGTACACTCACATAGATGTGTATACATGCATATACACAGAAACGTGTACCATTCACAGACATGTACCAGCAGCAACAGACATACACAGACAGATGTACACACACATATACATAACATAGACACGGACATATATATACACAGCAACGCATGCGCACACATACATGTTCTAATACACACACATACCTATGGGTTCCAAAAACCTTTCTTCCAGAGGAGAAGGCTCTCAGAGGCCTCCCAGCCAGTGAGGCCTACAGTCAAGATGAGACAGAGGGCCTCCTCCCTGTCGGAATGCCTTTCCTCGTCCCGACCTGAGGTCCTGTGTGTTAAGCATGACCAGGATAAAAAAGACAAGGGTAGACACCTTGATCTGGGCTAACGAATGGCCAGAGAGACCCTGCCATCAGAGCAATGGGGTCCCCCTTCCCTCGGGCTCCCACACATAAGCCTTGTCCCTCCCACCATGAACCCCCCCCCTCCTCCCTCTCAGGGTTGACTTTGTTTTGGAGCCAGGCAGGAGAGGCCTCAGGTTTGTTTGGTTCAAGATGACATGGACTACTGAGATCACAGAACCCCGTAGACACCACTGGGCTTAAAAGAAAACTTAAACGACTCGGACTCAAGTCCCGTGAGGGCAGCTTTCCCCCGCAAGCTGCTGCTTTATCTCACTTACCGTGGCTGCAGGATCTCACACTCAGGCAGAAACACTGAATTTCCATTCAGAAGTTGTCAAGTTCATGGGAGAGAGCAAGGGAAGGGCTGACAATGTCCTAAAAGAAACGTACTCATCACCTGACTTATGCAACTATAACCGCTCTGTACCTTTATAATAACAATAAAAGAAACTCTTTAAAAAAAGTTGTCAAGTTGAAAAGTAAGGACTTCACAGAAGTTTGGGTCCAGAAGAAGCTGTTCACCCACACTGTCAATGGCTCTTTCAAGCAGGCAAACAAACACTTAGAATCCTGCTCTTGGTTTTGTTATCTCAAGAAAGAGATGCTTTCTGCTTTGTCTGTTTCCTTCTGGGACCTTTGACCCGGAAGGACAATCCAGTAACTTGGAGGATGGCAGGGTCCGGGGTATCCCCCATCACACCTCATCTGTGCTTACGCAGCTCAACGCCTGTGCATGTGACACGGCCTCTCTGTTCTCTCCCAACAGGTGGGTTTGACTTGGACATCAAGGGCTGGGGCGGAGAGGACGTGCATCTGTACCGCAAGTACCTCCACAGCAACCTCATCGTGGTGCGGACACCCGTGCGGGGACTCTTCCACCTGTGGCACGAGAAGCGCTGCGTGGACGAGCTGACCCCTGAGCAGTACAAGATGTGCATGCAGTCCAAGGCCATGAACGAGGCGGCGCACGGGCAGCTGGGGATGCTCGTCTTCCGGCACGAGATAGAGGCTCACCTTCGCAGACAGAAGCAGAAGACAAGCAGCAAGAAAACATGAGCCCTCGCCCCCAGGGGTGGATTTGAGGGAGACATTGAATTGGCCGTTCTTATGTTACTCAAAAAAAACAAAAAACAAACCTGCACCAAGGAATAAACTTGGATCAAGGGTGGGGGGAGAAGACTGATGAAAAGAGAGAGCCTCCAATTAAAATCCCCACTTTATGAACATTGCTCCAATGAACCCCGAGAAGTCTCCCAAAGTCGGGAAGATTGGGAGATGGCAAGATGTCCGCTGGTGCGGACATTTTGGTTGTGTTTACTGTTACGCCATTTTTCTCCCAAGCGTAACCAAAAATAACTCTATCCTTTTGGTTGTCTTTTTATCCGTCTCCATTTGTTTATTTTATTATTAATGTACTTTGTGTGGCTTGTGAGTTACAGTCTGCTTAATTAGCCATTTGCTAACCTTACTAAAAAAGCACAAGATGACATAAATGTTTTTATGGGTTTTTTTAATCTTAAAGAAGATTCTTTGAATGCATTATAAGATCTTTCAGATTGGAACATCCAAATGATAGTGGGTCCAAGGACCTACCAAATTCTGACCCGTCAGACAGTGAATGTCTGTCCTTGACGCATGGACAAATTGCTGCTGGACCACTGTGAGAAAGAGACACAGAAAAGTATGTCTGAAGAGGAGCAACCTAACACTGGAGGAAAGGGAAGAGATGCTTCCTCAGGACCTCTTGATATATTTTAAAAGTCCAAGAATGAACCCATTCTAATCTCAGAAGAAATGAGGACCACTTTCTTATCTGTTTAAACCAAAGCTATGAAGCAAGCAATCTCTTTTCAAAGCAGCATGGTCCTTTGAGCTTCTGGCTTCCCTAGAAGAAATGCAGAAAAATACATTTTGAGAAAGATCCATCTATCTGCCCAGAGTCCAGCGAAAGCATGGTTTTATTACATGCTCACCTTACCCTAGACAAGGTGGAAGTAACTCAATTATTTTCTACCATTAAGCAGTTTTATTCAATCACCAAGATGCTTCTGAAAATTGCATTTGATTACCATTTCAAATTATTAAAAAAATAAATATGGTTAACATTGAATGGTTTCTACATCCACATGAGAATTATTTATTTATTACCAGCACCAGATGCATGAGCTAATTATCTCTCTGATTCCTTGCCTTCTGTTTGCCGACAGTGAACTCATTGTTTAAGAGTTTCAAGAACATTCAAGCTGTTGGTGTGTACAAAAAAAAAAGCATTGTATTGATTTGTTCTGGTAGTTCATAAAATTTAATTAAACCACAAGACATGAATTGAAGGTGGCATTTGCACAGCTAATAAAATATGATTTGTGGATTTGATTTCTTCTTGAAGGAAGAATGCTGTGTCCTTAACTTTTGGAAAACGTTACTTTATGCAGAGATCAGGGCTTCTCAAGCTTGCCATTTGGGGCTAGACCCCTCTCTATTTGGTGGGGGAGTTGGATGTGGAAGGAGGTAGGCCTTGCCTACTGCGGGAGCATTCCCTGCATCCTTATTGGCTTCTACCCACTAAAAACTAGAAGCACCTCCCACTCAGTTTTGACATCCTGTGTGTCCCAAGTCATTTCCAAATCTTCCTGGCAGGAGAGGGGGGGGTCACCCCTAGTTGAGAACCTCTAGGAGATCCTAATGAAAAAATTGAACCAGTTATACTTTGTCTTTATAGTTAGAAGAAATTAGAAAATTATTTCAGAGGCCCCTTCCCACTTTGTGCCTACCATTTTCACATGCTATAGTGATTCCCGTGGTTTTGGGACTTATGGCTTACCTGCCCCAACTTGGTCCTGATACACACCTCTGCTATATTCTTACAAGATCAGGAGGATGTACTTTACTAAAGCTGATGATTCTGAGCAAATATTTTGCCTATAGAATGAGGCAGTCGGTGGGCAGTTGGTACAGGTTGCACTTCGTGAACGAATAAGACATTTATTAAATTACACACTACAGATGCCCAGGACAGTGAATAAAAATTGATTTTGAAAATTGCTGAGGTAGATGGAAAGGAGACAAAATGCTTATTTAAAAAAAAAAAAACGTTTAGCTAGATATTAGGGTTTGAATCTTAATTCTCTGCCCCAAAGGCTCCTAGGTCAAAGCCAGCAGCCAGACTTTGGGGAAATGATTGGATCCTAAAGACTTAAGCTTCATCAATGGATTAATCCCTTTGTGCAGTCATAATTTTTTTTGCCAGTCCTGGGGCTTGAACTCAGGGCCTGGGCACTGTCCCTGAATTTCTTTGGCTCAAGGCTAGCACTCTACCACTTGAGCCACAGCACCACTTTCAGCTTTTTCTGCGTATGTGGTACTGAGGAATCAAACCCAGGGCTTCATGCATGCTAGACAAGCACTAAGCCACATTTCCAGCCCCAAGCATTCATAATCTGATGATATTCTTGGGTAGAAGACTAGGAGATGAAGCCTCGTGGGAGGAAGTAGGCCCCTAGCGCATGACCTGCAAAGACCTCCTTGTCCCCATCCCCTTCTGGCTCTCTCTGCCTCCTGTCCTCCATGAGGTGAGCAGCTCTCTTCTACCACACTATGATGCTCTGCTTCACCACAGTCCAGAAAATATTACTCCAAGTGACCCTGGACAGAAATCTCTATAACCGTGAGTCTCCTATTTGTGTCTCTCAGAGATTTGTCACCTGCCTAAAAAAGGAGCAAAGTAGACAAAGGTTCAGGCTCATCAGCCAGGCAGAGACCTCCTTAAAGTACAAGCAAGAGATCTATCACAATTGCTTGCCCATGGCTTCTATAAAAGAAAGTTGGAGAAGGCCCCACAGAAATCCAAGTAGGGGACTGGAGCTCAAACTTACATAGCAAAGGAAAGCAATCATGAAACTCCGTTTTGAAGGCTCCAGGCATATTACATCTTCTGAAGAAAATATACTGTGAGCTGGCGCTCAACTTTGCTCTGTATTCTCAATTCTGTTCCTGCTCCCCATAAATTGTCCAGTAAGCACCCTAATCAGCTTAATGAAATCGGGTCTCCAGTACTCTTGAGGTTTCCTTGAAGCAGTGGTTCTGATGTAATTGTGTAAGAACCAAAGTCTTCCTAACTCCTCCCTTAATGGTGACAGGTTGTCATCTTGAAATCAGCCACAGTGGGAGTATGTACATCTTGGGAATTGGCAATTGACAAATGCTACAAATCAGGCCTCTCCATCCTCTACCCACCACCCCATTCCAAGCCCTTTCTTTTTTTTGGTCATGGTGCTTGAACTCTGGGCCTGGGCACTGTCCCTCAGCTCTTCAGCTCAAGGCAAGCATTCTACCGCTTGAGCCACAGTGCCACTTCCCCAAGCCCTTTCTTAAATTGCAATGCTGCATCCACTTAGTGGCTTCTTGCACTCAGGTTCCTTCAAGTCTTCTCCTTTCCAGCTCAGCGCTGTACTCATAAATGCGGTCAACTTGCCTCTTTCCTCATAGTGAGGAGAGAGAATCAACCTAGGAAAATAGCTGCCCACAATCTAAATTCACTCCTTTTGTTTCCAGGAAAAGCCTCTTACTAATCTAATTTGACCAGAGTGGTAACTGATATCATGGCTTCTCCATCCTAGCAACAAGGATCCAAATTCCAATTGTTTCACATGAAGTTTATATGATCATAAGTGACTCACCCAGTGTCTCTGTACATCAGAGGTGAATGCAGTCACATCTGTATTAAACGATTGTTGTAAAGAGGGCATGAATTGGTATGGATGAGTACTTAGGACCTGATATACACAGGGCAAGTCAAGGTATTACTGACACACTGACAGTTTAAAACTGCATTTGTGGCTGGGTGCTGGTGGCTCACAGTTTGTAATCCTACTCAGGGAGCTGAGATATGAGGATCACAGTTTGAAGATAGCCCAGGCAGAAAAATCTGTGGGATTATCTCCGATTAGAGCTGTGGGTCAAGTGGTAGAGTGCCAGCCTTGAGCACAAAAGCTTAGAGACAGAGCCCAGGCCTGAGTTCAAGCCCAGTACACACTCCAGTACACACTCTCTCTCTCTCTCTCTCTCTCTCTCTCTCTCTCACACACACACACACACACACACACACACACACACACACGGCATGTCTGTGCTCAGTATGTCCTACATTGTTTGTATACAATGGTAGCCACTGTGGGTCATGCATTAGAGATGATGAAGCTGCCACAGTCACACTTGCCCTTCGTTTTTGACATTCTGAAAACTATCAAGGGATGTGAAGAAGAGTTGGTATGAGTGCAAAGAGGATGGATAGTTACTCCCTTAAATTCAATGCACAGCAATTTCGGTATCATGATGCCTCCTCAGCTGAGATGAGAACCTGATACTCATAGCACGAATCTTCTCAGACAAGTAACACGATTGCTTCCACTTATCTAGGTGCAGAAACTAGAGGCTCAGAAATGTTCAGGAGTTTACCCAGAGTTTACCTGGCCAGAGCTAGCTAGCTGAAGACTCCCTGAAATCATGCTGTCATGTGGCCGCCTCCCGCTAGGCTTGAAGGTCTGCAGGACCTCTTCGCTGGGCCTTAGTTTCCCACCCTTCCCATGTTTCTCAAGCCCCCTGCGGAGAAACCCAAAGAGGCGATGAAAACTGAGCAATCCAGGAATGGCTGAGCACCTCCTGGGCCTCCCTCAGGCCCCAGTGTCCTGACCGTGGTGAACTTCCCTGTGGGATGGAGGCCCCAGGGTCTTATGGGAGATGCCAAGGGCTGAAGTGTGAGATTGTCCTCAGGAGGAGGAGAGGACAGGTAAGAAACCCTGGCTTAAAAACAGACTGGATCCTATTCCTGGGTGTTACTGATTCCAGCTAATGACCTTGGGCAGCTCCTCAGAAGGGTGGGTGTGCTCTTCTCCCAACACACATCAAATACCTGGCAGCTGTGTGTGATCCATATTCTGATTAGCTTTGTACTTGAATTCAAAGCTGTTTCTCCTGGCAGGACCCTGGGCTGGGCTATTGCTGCCAAACTCTATGGGGATGGTGCCAATTGGTTGAGGGGGTGGGGAACTGGTTTTCTCCCAAGGCAGAGAATAGGTTCTTTCCTGTTGGCAGAGGTGTCTTCCAAAATGTCTTCCTGTTACCAAGCCTTTGAATGCACTTCTCTGGAGAAGTCAACGCCAGCTTCCTCTGGGTTGTTTCTTGTCTGCAATTTTAACCAGAAGGCAGACACAGGGCTTGTGAGAATGGGGGGGAGTGATGTGAAAGAGGGTGCTGTGGGGGGGAGGTCTCAGTCTGCCAGGGCTTGTCACTGTGCTGGAGAGAAGCCAGGCCAGGCTGTGGCCTTCCTACACCCAAGATCCAAGGAGGCCCAGGCCGCCTACAGGGCTTCTTCCAGGACTCGCTGTACCATGCTGGCCTGGGTTATTGGGTGACCTGCATTGAGACCTCATCCTCAGCACCCTGAGTGAGACACCTTATCCTGGAACAAAGCTAAGTACAGGGCTGTCACCAGCCCCCTCTGCCTCCATCCTTGGTCCCTGGGGCTTCGTACCTTACCACCAACCCCTCTCCATCCATGTTTAATCTGGGCAATGATAAGCACCTGGCCTGCTGGAGCATTCACACCCATGTGGAAACGATTACAAAGGTTATTTTTAAAAACCCCACAAAACACACCGTAAGCACTCCCAGTTCAAAAGCGGAAGGCAACTTTATTAACAATTTGTCCTTTACTTCTAGTTAGTTGCTTCATATGGATCCCTATAAAGCCACACCCATACCACAGAAGGCCGGCTGGGGCCAATAAGAGTAACTTATGTGAGAAGCTTTTCCTGGCAACTCTGCCACACCATTAAGAACTCTCCAAAGTGGGATACTTGACATCTTGTTTGGGAGTTACTGGGCTCGTGACTCAGCTGGAGGAAGCACTTCAAACAGGTGCAGCCTTTCAACTGAAGAGAAGTGCACATTGGAGTGGATGGACAAGAAAGGCAGAGAGCCGTCCTGGGGCTTACCCATCATTCACTGGGCACCTGGCCTATTGTGGGATAGGCACAGTGAGTCCTGAATCAACAGCTTGGTGGTAAACTGATTACTGACTGGGGGACAGCAGCACAAGCATTAGCAAAAGCAATCCATACTACATCCAGTCCACGTGAAATGTGCCAGATATCTGCAGACCAGTAATGGATTGCACAAGCTGTCATTGTGCCCTTTACTCTTTAAAAGTTTCCCTTTCTGTCCTAAAACCATCCCAGACATGCTAGACAATAGGCCGCTAGGATACACAGCTCAGCGGTTGTGTAAAGTGAGCTAATAAAGGGAAGATCTAGAATTCATAGCTGCTGGCTGGCTCCTGGCCTATAATCTCAGCTATTCAAAAGGCTGATATCTGGAGGATCATGGTTTGAAGCCAGCCCAGGAAAAAGAGTCTGTGATACGCAATTGCCAATTATTCAGCAAAATGCTGGACTGGGGGTGTGGCTCAGGTGGTAAAGTGGCAGCTGTGAGCAAGAAAAGCATCTGACAACTCAGTGAGTTCAAACCCCTGTACCAGCACGTGTGTGCGTGTGTGTACAGATATGTGCACGCACACACACAAAGGCACTATAAATAATACTGACAGAGTTAGGCCTAAGCTTGAGCTTCCTCAGTCACTATCTTGAAGTGGTCTCTAAGTTGGTGCTGGACCCAAAAATGACTGGATTTTCCAGTTAGTGGTCCTGTAAGGCATGGAATTTTCCAGTTAGTAGTACTTTAAGGCATGGAATTCCTGGTCCTAGCACCAAACAAGAACTAGTTAGGTTTTCCCATCTCCCATATTTACTTCATTATGAGGATGTGAAAGTGTATACTAAAGAGTGAACCGATGTGTTTGTAAGTTACTGTATTCACTTTCTGAAGCTACCAGAAAACACTACTCTAAACTCATGACTTAGACATCTCTTCTACCACAGTTCTGGGGGCTAAAAGGCTGAATCAAGGTGTGCTCAGGGCCAAGTTTCCTCCTAAAGGCTCTGGGCCTCTCCTGGCTTCTAGGGACTGCCAAAAACCCCTGGCCCTGCCTTGAAGTTACATCACTGCCTTGTGTGTGCATGTCTGCTTTATATCAAATCCCTCTTCTTATAAGGTTGCTAGTTGTGGGATTTAGGGGCCTGCCCTAATCCAGAGTGCATCCTCCTCTTCCCTCAGCTCCATCTGCAAAGTCCCAACACATTCACAAACAGGGGTTAAGGACTTCAATGTAGGTATGTTCGCATGAACGACTATTGCTTTTGAGTACAACTTAATTCTGAGAAATGTCTGCTTTCTTCTTTGTTCGTTTTATCTTACATACATCTGCACCAAGTCACATTCGAACACCTAGCATATTTGTTCCTGTCTCTGCAGCAGTGATGACTGGCCCCTTCGGTGCACTTGCCTCATTAATTTTTGTGCCTTTAGAGAAGAAGTGCGGGCTCTTCTTGTCTCCCCCAAAGCAAACAAGCAAACTCCCAGATGCCGGCTCACTTCCCAATGGCCCCTGTGTATCTGAGGTCATGTTTCTCCTCCAGTCCTGCATTTGCAAACTCCCCATTCAATTTACACTCGTGGCATCTGGTTTCTGTCGATTACATCCTGGCTCATCTAGCATGCATCATCTAGATCACCCAGGATGATGTTAACCCTCAGGAAGGACTTTTTTTGCCAGCTTTCAGAAGACAAGATGGAAGTTCATTTCAACAGGACCTCAGAAAGGACAGAGAGGGAGTGGACAGCTCACATGAGCTACTGCTGCTTTTGAAGTACAATTCTAAGAAGTATCTTTGTTCGTTTTATCTTACATACATCAATAAGGTGGTATTCTTCGTGTCAGGCCATTGCTGACATCGGTACCCTTATCCTTCACAGATAAAGAAGAGATCCTTTTTCCTTGGATAACACCCCGATGTCTGTGTCAAAGAGGTTTCAGCAAGGCCTCCATGGATGCTCCATGAGGGGTGCTAGCCTGGCTGCAGGGTGATTTTGGCTTCCTACACGAATGTCTGTTTCCATAGTGTCTTGTCCAGCTGGAGGGTTAGAATGGCCTGAACAGAGGCTGTCACTCAAAGAGTTCCAGGTAATCTGGTGGCTCACCCTGCTGCTGCCCGCAGGGATAGAGCAGGAGCTCCTTCCCCAGGGAGGTGATGGGTTCCTCCTGTCAATCAGAAGGTACAAGATCAGGGAGGGGGGAAGAGGAGGGGCAGCAGTCATACATGGCTACATCCTCAAAGGTAAAATAGTCCGGTATTTAGTAATTGGACAAAGTAACTAGACTCCATATGCAAATGAATCTTATAAGTGGGAACTATGCTTAAGAAGAACACATTTTTGCCAGGGGCTAGTGTCTCATGCCTAGCTACTGGAGAGGCTAAGAGCTGGACGATCAAAGCCAGCTGGGCAGAAAAAGGTTTAAGACTCCACCTCTACCCTTGATCTATGTAAACCTTTAGAAGGTCATGACCATATTAAAGATAAATTTCTCCTCCATACTGTCACTTTCCCTTTAGGGCCCCAGCTCTAAGCTAAGGCTGTGATCAGATGGGAAAAGTGGGATTACTGCTTGCTTATCATCTGTGGTGTTCTCTGCTCCAGTGGAATCTCCCTGGGTATTTGAGGAGGAGCTATGTTCTGTGCTAAAGAAAATGCAATGAAAAATCTGAACTATCAGGAGGAGGAAGGATCAGAGAAGAACCTTCCACCCCATGATATGTCTCAACTGGTTTTTTTCTCCTTACTGCCTTTCTTTATTAGAGTGGATAACAACTTAGGAAGGGAGTTACACTGATGAATTGTTTTACCTTGTGATATTCCACCAAATCAGCCAGGGTGGCATGCTGCAGCTGGTCCACACCGAGGAAGCTGTAGGAGTCGGCAGAGGCATCGATGAGGAAATGCTTGCAGCCCTCCTCTGACAGGTGGGATAAAGCATAACCCTTCATCCTCTCGCTGACTCGGACCAAGAAACTGCCCGGCACGCCTGTGCTCAGGAGTTCATTTGCTCTCTTTAGGGTGAGAATTCCTGTGGGAAGAAGCAAGCGGGGAGGGGAGAGCAGGTATTTCAGCCAACTCCTTTCTGAGCGCCTCCTATGTTAAATCTAGGCGGTATGGGTAAGTTTAGTAAAACCAGAGCCATTTTATATGTGCTTGGACTTCTTAGAAATACATTTTGGTGTTTGGTAAAGAGCCAAGAATCGATTCCATAAGCAAATGTATGGTCAAAAATGAGAATGATGGTTATAAAGAACACATTTCAACTCGATGTGGATGGTTCATGCCTGTAATCCTAGCTCCTCAGGAGGTTGAGATTTAGAAGGAAGTGGTTCAAGGCTAGCCCAGGCAGAAAAGTGCACAAGACTCCCTCTCCAAAATAACCCACTAAAAGTCAGACTGGAAGTAGGGCTCAAGTGGTAGAACACCCGCTGTGAGCAAGCAAGCTGAGCAAGAACAAGGCCCCGAGTTCAAACCCTGGTTCTGGCAACAAGTAAAAACAAGATCACATTTCCACTGAAGAGATTCATTTACAGCACAGGTGACGGTAGAACCAGGCGAGTCAGATCTGAAAGGGACCCCAAGGTGCTCCCCTCAAGCCTCTGCCACCTGCTAATCAGAACGCGATGGCCTGGGAACACAGGTGACTCTTGTCTAGCTGTTCTCCGCCAGAGCCTCGTCTGAAGAACAGCAGGTGGAGAACAGGTGCAGCTAACCCCCCTCAGGGCAGCCTCACACTGCAAAGAATTGTCCAGCCCAGGGTGTCAACACTGCTGAAGCTGGAACTTCCTGGTTCGGAAGGTCTGAACTGAGGGCCTGAATCATGGATCCACGTCTCCAGAGGGCCTTCTACAATCTATCTGCTTCCATCTCCACTGGCGTTTAAGGGAGCAGAGCTTTGTTTGTTTACGTCTTTGCATGTATGTTTATGTCTTCGCACATATTCAAAGGAGTTCTTCCTATATACATGAGATTTTACATAGAGACAGAATTTAGAGGCCCCATGAATTCGGACCAGTCTTTTCTCCAGTTCATAAAAGTCTTAGGATTTGACTCCCATCCTGAAGTTCATCTCTTATTCCTGCAGGTGAATGGAAAATAAGTAGAAAGAGCACCAATGCATCATTATGTGGAATTGCCAGTATGCTCTGAATTGCCGGGAAGACAGAAAAAAACAAATCCACCATCAGGAAACCACACCAGATAAAACTGAGTCATAGTATCCAGGTTACAAATCTCAAAAAAAGAAGCCATTGCTGTAGCAACTCCAGGCCCCCCACCCGCTGCCCCAACCTTCCCCAGCCTGAGCTCAGACTCATGGCCACACTCTACACAAGCAGCATGGACCTCTGCAGTGGGCTGCTGCCTTCCTGGCTTTTTAAGGGCAGGCTCTCTAAAGAAATTACTGTTGCTTTCACAACAATGAAGATCTATTTTATGCCAGGTGCCAGTGACTCATGCCTGTAATCCTAGCTACTCAGGAGTCTGAGATCTGAGGATCATGGTTCAAAGCCAGATGGGTTAGGAAAGTCCATGAGACCCTTATTTCCAATTAACCACCAGAAAACTGGAAGTGGAGCTTTGGCTCAAAGTGGTAGAGCTCTAGCTTGTGGTAAGAGCTCAGGAACAATGCCCAGGCCCTGAGTTCAAGCCCTACAACCAACAACAACAAAAAACTTATTGGAGTTCCAATTATTCTGTGTGTCTGATGCTGTAACTGTGAGTGATGCTTCATAGTAGGGTTAGGGTTATGATAAAGGGACAGCTGCTTAGTCCTAATATGTCATACCAGAAATACCATGTCTATGTCCTGTGCCTTGTCTATGTCCTGAGACCTTCTCCATTCACAGATTCCCTTTCTAAAAACAAGCCTATGAGCCGGGCACTGGTGACTCACATCTGTAATCCTAGCCAATCAGGAAGCTGAGATCTAAGGATACCCTTAGATCTGTCTGGAAAAAAGTCTGTCTGGAAAAAAAAAGCCAGAGACTCTTATCTCCAACTAACCAACAAAATGCTAGACCGGAGATGTGGCTCATATGGTAGGGCACCCACCATAAGTGAAAGAGCTGAGGAAAAGCACAAGGCTCCAAGTTTCCTGAATATGGTGGTACATGTGTGACATTCCAGCACCTGGGAGACTGAGGTAGGAGAATCATGGCTCCAGGGCCATCTGGAGCTCTATGAAAGCCTGCCTCAAAAAATAATTCTATGACATATATTATCATCGCCCACATCCACAGGGAAGAACACACAACTCAGACCTCAGTGATCTGGTCATTGCCTGGATAGTCCAAACAAGCAAGCACTCTGCCACTGAACTCCACCCCCCCACCCCCAATCACAGACTACACAGAAACCAATGTAGGGCTTAAAGAAGCCACTACCTTTTCTCAAAATCCAGGAGACTGAGAAGTTATCATGAGCCAGCTAGACAGAGGTGCTTGTTAGTTTAAACACAGCAATGATTAATGACAATCTGCTCAGAAATCCAACTACCCCCTTCGCAGCTATAACTATAACAGAAACAAGGGATAGAAGCCACAGAATATTTAAAGATCTCAAAGTTTAACTCTACCATTTAACAGATAAGGGACCTATGACTCAAAGAAGAGAACAACAATGGCTTAGTCAAGTTCACTCCACTAGTTAGTTTAAGGAATTGATCTTGTATCAGTGAACTACCATCAGCCATCGACCCTAGCTGATACCATGGGAGAAGGGTACCCAGTACCCTTGTGGGAGTCAGCAGGAAACTCCACTTTTTCCACCCACCCCAGGGCAATGAGTTTGTGGTGGTGCGTTATCCCACGGTGTGTACTGGGGCAGTGAAGGCCGATAGCCTTTTAAGCAGGCTCGGGAAGGCAGCTCGTAGAGAAACCTTTGAAAAACTTCTTTGTGGAAATCATTTGAAAGACTCTCTGGGGGCAGCTTTTATTCTTTCTGCCTTCCCAGGGGATAGCACCACTTCCCAGGGGATTAGCACCACTTCCTGGTGGATTAGCACCACTTCCTGGTGCATTAGCACCACTTCCTGGTGGATTAGCACCACTTCCTGGTGGATTAGCACACTTCCTGGTGGATTAGCCCCACTTCCCAGTGGATTAGCACCACTTCCCAGGGGATTAGCACACTTCCTGGTGGATTAGCACCACTTCCTGGTGGATTAGCACCACTTCCTGGTG